ACGTGTGCACCAAATAAAAAGGGAGCTCAGCGAATACTCACGTCGCTCGTACCCGAGTAACACTGGAAAGATAGGAGGACAAAAACTGATAACGATGGTAGAACAATGAAGCACCATATGTTTCGGGAAAAGTTAACCACTTGATAAGCACGTTCGAAGATGGGTAGGATTACACGTAAATAGAAGGTAAATTAAAAAGTTAGTGCCCATGAACGGGTGAAAGTTAACTCACGAGTTAACGGAAAAATCAAAATCTTTGGAAGTTACCCTGATGATAAGTCGGTAGCATCAGCTACATGGAAATGAGATTAGTCCATTTGACTATATTATGAAGAATACGAAGTGATTTGGGATCAAACCTGTCAACATACAATGCAGCTGTTTAGCAATGTTGCTTGATCTTTGTGACAGTAGGATCAGTGATAATTACCTTTTGATTGTTTTTATCAACGCTTTAGTTTTTGATTGGTTGACTTCATTGAGTAAACGCTGAGCGATAGCCCATGGATGGTGTAAAAATAGCAGATATCTCGTATCATTTGAAAATGATAGGCAGAATTAGACAGTAAGATAAGAAAGAGGATTTTCCAAATGGATGCCCTCCAATTTACTTCTTCATCAAATGGGGAATCAAGAGACAGAAACCAAAACCTGTGCACGCAAGTGCATAGTCAATGGTTGTACTAACTGAAACTGGAACCTGTTGATCAAGGGATCTGTTATATGTTTTTTACTGCTGTCTTCATTGTTATCCCATTTCGATATCCGAGACCCCATCCGGGAGTGTATGGTTCTAGAAGTGGCGGTTTTATGCATTTTGCTTCAGTAAGTATCTCGAAAATGATAAGATAATGGTAGCTCACCCATCTGATGAAAACCTCATTTCTCGATCAAATAACGATATGCGACAAAGAAACAAACAGATGTTGCAAAGACTGGTAGCACATGTGTATTGAAGGAAAAATAATTAAGCTCCAAACATACCGACAGTGTAGTGACGAAGCATTCGAATAGTCATCTCAGTGGATACCAAATCGTGTTCATGTAGTCCGGCTAATAAGAGGATACGTGTGCGACCAGGCAAAGGGCGAATATCTTTCGCCAAATGGATTTTTGCTTGATCTGCTGCTGTTCCCCGCTTCATTCCATGGGCCACGATGGTTAACTCAGCACCGAGTACACTACTTGCCTGTTCCGTGGAGTCCAAATGAAACAATCTGACGAAATCACCGATTGCGGTTGATCGGACGGCTGCGTTCACGCTGGGTTGTGCGAAATAGGAAGGTCGTTGGTTGAGCTGAATGCCAAAATCGATTTCTATCGACCAATCTTCTGTATTGGACGGCCACAGAGTGAAATTCAGTTGTTCCTGTCGCGTTTGCTCGACGAACGGCAGTTGAGCTGCGCTGATCGTAATCTTGTCTGAATCAAAATAACTGTGCATGTGTGTTGGTGAAGAACAGAGAGGAAAGCTATAATTCAGGTGGGGAGAGATGAGCCAATATGAGCAAAAGACGGACGATCCTATCCGAATGCATTTCAAGGCTTGATATAATGAACAACAATTCAATTCCGGATTGTGCTTAGAGAATAATAAAATCTACAATTATTATTGTTGTGAAAAATGAAACTGATTGAACAGAACCAGAGCTACTTCGCTACTTGATTTCTTTGGCACGCACCTTTCAGTGACTACGCTACAGTTGACCCAATCTACTAGACTGTTCATGTGGGATGTTTAATGGTGCAGACTGTTTACACACTACTGTTGTTCGAGGGCCCATATCCTGGAACCTAAAACTTGTATTCTGTTATTCGCCTGTATACCTGAGATTTCCAACTGGGCTGAGGAGACGCAATTGTTGTTGCTGCTAAACTAACTTTAATCTCACAATAAAATGATGTTGGAACGTCGTTAACATTTGCAATATCTAAATTCACCTCCACTGTCTAGAACGTTGTGTCCGTATTGAAGTGGCATCTTTTGTCAGATACACTGGTGTTGATGAAATTATTGATAACCGTTCATTTGGATGCAATATTGCACACATTTTTCATTGAAATATCAAGTGATTTTGCCACACCAGGCGCCAGGCTAATTTAGCATATACAACATTTCATGTGGGTAATGGATTTGGTTAAATTTCAAATGACAATTCGTCGTGTATATAGCGAATGAACCAGGTCGAAACAGCTGTCCAGTGCTTCCGAGCTTTTCACTTCACGTTTCATTCGCTATATACACGACGAATTGTCATTTGAAATATACAACATTCTTTTTTCTCCAGTAAATAAACGTCTGCACATCGTTATATTCAGTGATAACATGTAGAATTGTTGGCACCTGTGTTCCTTACAATGGTTATCGCGTTAGTGAACAGCGTGTCGAGTGTACGTCACACTCAGTGGGACGGCATGGGATGAAAGCCACAGTTGATGAATGGCCAAACCACATATCGGCAAACGACTCAGTGAAAAAGTACCCGGAAGTATCAAACATGGAGGGGGAGGGGAACGGTGAATAATGAAAGCATGTGCAATTGGGCACACGGTTGGTTTGGGTTAGCTATGAAATGGAAACATACTGTAAAATGCGATTTTCTGTAGATGAAATATAGCAGAGGATTGATTGTCTGTGATTCGCACATGCATGCGCGTAAAAGTTTCCGTTTGGAAACCCTCCAAGATCCTACTCGTCTTCGTGAAGACCATACAAAATGCTGCTGGAACTGCAGAATTCATCGCATCACCGAAGTATTATCAGCAGAATAAACCTGTAAAGAAAGTTGACAGAACGGCATTCTCGTAATGATAAACAAGGGTATAGCTCCCGCTGAGCTGCGTGCGGATTCTCGCCGAACTAAATTACTTTTTCGCACAAATGTGCCTGTTTTTCTCGTTGTATCACAACCCGTAAACAGTTCGTGTTGTTTGCTGAATTGTAGGCATTATGCTCTCACAAGATGTTTTCATCAAAAGTCAACTGTTTAATTATGTGTTTGTGCGTGCGCGCGCGCACCGTCTACTTGTTGCGTAATTGAATAAGTGTTTAGTGGAACATCGTTTACCAAACACAAAACGTAGTGTAAAATTTAGTATGACATTATACCGCAAAATGACGCATAGGAGAGGGAGTGAAATCTATTGCAAAACAGATCGGGAGGAAGATGGCCGGAACCGTTAGCTCCCAAACTTTCGCAATATAGAAATAAAAATGGAATCAATAGAGTGTACCAGATTTTCAGAAAACAGAACGCATCCTAAACACCGAAGATGGGCTCAAGTCACTGTCCAATTCGGCTGTCAGCCACAATTATATAGGTAACTCGAGCAAACAGATCAATAAGGTAGGCAAAGAATAAGCAATATGTTTGAGGTATCACACAAATTTGATGGGGTAACTGAATTAGTACTGATAAGATTAGGTACAAAAACTGGGTGACTATTTGGATTGACGGAGCAAGGGAGTGAATGGCAAAGACGATATAAGTTGGAGCCTATGAGAAAGTAGCAAACGATTCGAGCAAGGAAAACAAACAAGAATATTGACGAGGAACATTTAGGAGTAAGTTTGCGATGAGATAAAGAAATCCTTAGTTCATAAAAAGGCCTCGATACAGACCTTAGGGAATACCTGAAAACTTCGTTACCCGAGCGGCAATGCAACGTTTCTAGATTCTAAAAGAAAATGAGGAATATACGTATTAATTGAAAGAAATTATTGCTAAAACTTTTCGGAGGACCATATAAGCATCGTTTTACATTTTTGTCATTATTATTTAAAGTTCGTCTGTCTCCCATAAAAATAGAACATGAATATACAGAAAGGAGTAATGTGTCACTTGTGTGAAGAAACGCGGAACAACACTTACCCAGTCTTCGAAGCCCAGAGAGTAACCTGTCCATCTGGGGGGAGGAGACGCCAATATTCTCCTAATTCGATGGTAGAACGAACTACGTGAGAATTTCCCAACACGTGAATCGATGCATTCCCTATCGGTAATGTTGTGGATCCATCGATAATGAAACCTTTTAAAGCCCGGTGAACCTGGTGTAAAATGTGGTTGGCATACAAAATAAGTGTTACTCCACAGCGACAATAGAGAGAGAAACGGGGAGGTTCTCTAATCCGTGTCAGAAACGTGCTTCTTCCTGTGATACAGGACATAAGATTTTAGAAACCATATTCCAAACACGCTTCACAAGGAAAATGCGAACTGGGAACACTGGGACTGCAAGTCACTAAAGTTGTTACATGCATGCTACATGAGGTTATCCTAACTGACTGTTCCCATTAGATTGGAAGCAATAGGATAAAAAACAAATCGATCAATCGTGAACAATAAGGGGAAAGTTATCGCACTGCTTTATACCAAAGGAGATTGATGAATTCATACGGTAAAATTCGTTCAGTGCCCAAAGTCATGAGAGAAGGGGCGGAAGGTTTAAGCAGTTTACAGATGTTTGCCAAAGAAATTTTCAAACTAACAAAGGCATCCGACCGTGAGGATGAATAGGACTGACATATGGGCCTACAAAGCACACATACAACATTTCAATTCAAGTTTTATTACCAGTCCTTCAGGTTGAACCTAATCCCGGGTGTTACCACCTGAGTGAAGTTTGGTTTAGCATTTTCAACTCGTGAACTCTACGATATCTATTTTTACAGAGGTCGTTTCACATGCGAAAAACAGCCACGCAAGGATATAATCCAACTTTTTGTAGAGTTGTTACCAACTCGTAACTGATTGAGTTGGGATAATCGGAGAGGCCTAAAACAATGTAGCTATAGCTTAGTTTAGTGCGGTGATTGATGGGAGTGAGAAACGGGCCCTCGGTTCTTCCAGTATCAATTCAAAATGCAATGCGACCGTCAAAGACGAAGCCAAGTTAGGCTCATGGGTGATGATGCACATGTGAAGTGATTCAGCCAAACCGATACAAGTTATCACCTGACTCCAAATACAAACACCAAAAACTTCCTTCTGACGACCACCATTCTCACAGGAAGAATGAAATCACCTAAAACACAGTGTCGTCTCAACCCTCGTCAGCGTTAATCATCATCATCATCATCATCATCATCATCACCGTATAGCGATATACAGTCAAGCGAGCCTCACCAATCGCTGCCATACTCATAGTGCATAACAAGGTAAGTGAGAATGTGTAAGGAGGATTGCGATTGAGTCTATTTTTATGAAAAGGTGAGAGAAAGCGAACCTCTATGGTCAATACATGGAATACGTAGTCCAACTGTGTTTACACACGTTTCCAAGCATTCTGGTCTGACAAGAATGCCTCTGCGGTTGGTTAGCGGTCATCACCCTGTGTCTCCAACCATTACGTATTCTTCTGGATCCAAACCCAGAAAACGAGAGACATATACACAGCCTTACACATAAATCAATCAGTATCACCGATCAGCACCGGCGTAGATTCACTTAAGACTGACGATGATCTTTCTGGTCAGTGCCATCAGAAATTCCTTATGGTTCTATAAATGTTTGTTTAAATAGTACAGTTACCGTCCTCCGGAAGAAAATTCACCTTTACGAACGCGGCTCGCAGCTGAGAAACTCAACAAACACAGAACACCGAACCACATACTACGATAACCAGAAAGAAAGAAATCAGACACAATGGATCTGCTAGATTTCAATTGCACACTTGGAAAACCGCAGAATCATACCTCCGGATATCAAACAAAAAACCTATAATGAGCACGAGAAAGATGAGCGGATTCGCTTCCGATGAAGCACAGTAACAAAAAATTTGTTTGATTGCAATCCATCTCCAGTGTGTTTACTTATTTCTCCTTATGACTGATTAACCACCAAGCGTCACACACACAAGGCGATTAAAAACTGCATCAAAAGGTAAACAATTACAACAATTGAATCGGTTATTGCCACTCGGTGTTTCGTGTGAGACTTAGAAACAGGTAGTTAACACAGGAAAAACAATTCGCCGAAGATTTGTGTGAATCAACTATTGGGCAAATTTCCAAGACAACATACCTCCTGTGAAAATCATAGAGTAATAAACTGAATTGCTATCGATTGCGCGACCAACTATCTATCAGCCACATATGAATGGCGGACGCGTAATAATCAGGCTGATTTTGGAATTGATAACGGTTATTCGACCATGCATTCACGAATTGCTTTACCGGGAGGGGGTTATTCTGCACTGGTAACGAGTACCTAAGAGGTCGAGCCAGCTGTCTAGGGTTATTTCTCGGCCCCTACATATAACTTGACAAAAAAATTATTAGAAAGTGGGGCACAAATAGACTCCCAAGGAACGTAACTTACATTGGTGTCTGTGAATTCGTATGGGATAAAAACAAGGATATACTTCATTGAAACTTCACATCATGTAGTATTCACAGATCAGGTAGAGCTTGAAAGATCATTGAGGATCATGCATGAAAACAGTGACTGATGGACATCGTCAATTAGTGGGATAGAGCTTTCCGTTGGTGTACTCAGGAGTCCAGCTGATGGCTCTAAACACGAAATGATTTAGCTAAGTGTGGTAACCACATTATCTGCATCTGATTTTCCCCGGTACCGTTTATTTTGGTGACAGGTTTGTGTTTCCTCATTTGTTCACCAAGCACGCCGCTGAAAGACAGTGATAGGAATCGGAGCTCGGAAACGTGTGAGTAGTTGATAGTTGTGCGAAACGCTTCAAATGGAATGCATTTTGTACCCAACGCATTCGTTCATGTGACCTACTG